ATGGCCCATTATAAGATTTCTAACAGAGTCAGTCACTTTTTGATTTTTTTATCTGTTGGTATTTGATAGAATCAAAGATGCCATGTATCTAAACAAGATGTCCAGGACCTCCAGCAGAAATATAGGCCCACAACATTAAAAATACAGCAGTATATTTCATTGTACACATGGGGTACTTTTGTTTGTTGCTAAAAAGCAAATCCCATTTGAAGTTCCAGTCATGTCTGACAAAAGAATATGCTGTGGATTGTTTTTGGATGAGAGCATTTTCTTTTCTTGATTTTTTTTAAGCCCTCCCAAACAACACGAGGTGTAGGTGCTGTTTGATTTGATTAGATTTTTTAAGGTTTTCTGACCCTGAGCCTCAACTATTTTCTGCAATTCTCCAGCTGTGGTCCTTGGAGAGTCTTTAGCCACTCATCCTCACCGTGCATTAGGACGATATAGACACACATCCTCTTCCAGGCAGATTTGTAACATTTTCTGTTGATTGGAAATTCTTAATTATTGCCCTGATGGTGGAAATGGGAATTTTCGCTGCTCTAGCTCTTTTCTTAAAGCCACTTTCTAATTTGTCAAGCTCAATTATCTTTAGCTGCACATCAGAAATATATTCATTGGTTTTTCTCATTGTGATGGATGGTAAAGGGAAATTGGCCTCTGTTTTCCCTTCTATTTATATTCCTGTGAAACAGGAAGCCATGGCTGGATAATATTATGTTCATAATCACCCTGGTATGCTCAAAATTGTAAATATGAATGGGAATATACTTCACAGATATTTTACTCATAAGAATTTCTAGGGGTGCCAATAATTGTGTCCAACGTGTATTTGAGAAAAAACATTTATTTCATAATGAGATTTTCCCCCATTTTCAATTGTTTTAGTTCAATGAAAGGTTAGATATTTGTGAATTTTTTTAAATAAAAGATCAAAATGATTAACAACGCAGATTTATTTTCACAGCCTTCTTTGTTCATATTTACCAAGGGTGCCAATAATTCTGACATATATATATATATATATATGTATGTGAAAGGAGAATGTGTGTGTGTGTATATATATATATATATATTTATTTATTTTTATAATAAATGTCATGTCTGTCATGCTGAAAAAAGTAAAAAAAAGTGAAGAAATAATAATAATAATAATAATGTTATTATTGTTACTGTTATTATTATTATTGTTAAATGTTCTAATAGTAAATATATTTGTTTTGGTGTCAGGACAACTGTTATTATTAATAACAGTGATTAATAAATATAATAATTATTATTAGTTTATTATTAGCAATAAGCAAATGAACAACAACTGTTATAATTATTCTTCTTAATATTATCACAATTGATATAGTATATATTACAAATTATTTTGGTGCCTGGACTACTGTTATGATTAATATTATTATTATTCTAGAATTATTATTATTATTAATATTATCACAATTTAAATAGTATATTTGACCAATTATTTTGGTGCCTGGACTACTGTTGTTATTATTAATAATAATCAGTAGTAGTAGTGTTAAATATAATAATAGTATCACAATTCTTGGTGCCTTGAGTACTGTCATTATTAATAACAGTGGTTAATAATAATAATAATAATAATTATTATTATTATTGTTGTTGTTCTTGTTAAATATGCTGTTACAATGTTTTTGGTGCCTGGACTACTGTTATTATTAATATATAATATAATATAATATACATTATTATTATTATGTAGTGTTTTGGTGCCACAAAAATGAAACGGGACTAAGACCTGATCACAACCAAAATGAGATCTGAGACCCTTTTATTGCCCTAAGAGAACTGGATTTTAGTTTTTTTCATTTTAGTTTTTTTTTTCACTCCAAGACCATAAAGGTAATCTATATGACACGTGCTCTGTATTCTTCAGAAGGCGTTCAATAGCTTTAATACAGGCTTGGAGTCGAATAGACTACTTTTATGGTGCTTTTCTGCAGTTTGACCGCTATGGTCACTCTATGAACTGCCATTGTATAGGAAAGAGCACAACTCCTTTTGTGTTCTGTAGAAAAATACCAGTGGGTTTGGCATGACATGATGGTAAGTACATAATGACAGAATTTTTATTTTTGTGTGAACTATTCCTTGAAGGACAGAGAATGTGAAGGAAATGAGGCACTGGAGCTTTGAAAGAGGCTTTGTTGAACATGAAGGGATTTGGCCAGCGTAGTGGATTTGTTTACCTGCCGAAAGGCTTTCGAAGACTCGGGTGGTAATACGTTAGCATCCCAGGGGTCATCACATTCACAGGACAGCCTCCGCTCCACTCCTCTTTTGCCCAGTCCTGAAAACACAACACAACAATTAACATTTTGCAGCAGTCAGTGTCAATGTGAACTCTAATTTTGGGCTAAAAAATGATAAGACTGTGGTTGTGATGTAGCTCGGCCTTTATTTCCCAAGAGAGGCAGATTTAAGATGCAGGTGCTATTTGCATTGACACTGACAAAACTTTTCGATGTCTTGCAGACAACATTTGGCAGACAGTCTTCTTGTTTCTCTTCACAATGAGCAGGGTATTTTTATATTACTGCAGCTTCACATCATCATAAACTCCCTGCAACCTCCTATTTCTCTTTTAATAAGGTCACCTCAAAGAATTCTGTGTGAATTAGACTAAATGTTCCCTTCAGTTCATGTTCAAACTAAATAAAAAGGTGTAGAAATAATTTATAATTGAATTTAATGAAGAATTATTCATTATTCATGGAATTATTCATCATTAGAGCCCTGTAGCCTTTCTTAATGATATACCCTGATGGTCTTAAGTAAGCATCTTGGTTAATGTTGAATGTTCTTAAATGCGCCTGTAGATTTTATAAAAGGTACTTGAAGCAAAACCCTTAAACTATCTAAGCCTCTTAGAATGATTTACATGTTAGTAATGTATTTTTGGACTTAGATGATTATATTAAAAGAAGGCTGTGTCTTCCCAAGCAGCTCTCTTGGTAGTATGCATCACCTTTCTATGAAAATATTAATAACACCATTAAAGTTAACCATTATTAGCTTAATACAGTGGTCACCAACCTTTTTAAGCCCAAGATCCCTGACCTCGTCCTTTATGAAAGACAAGATCTACCTATAGAAGAACTGATAGAAAAAGACAGCCCAGATTGTGCTGTCAATTTGAGTATTTTATTTAGTATTGTAATTAGTGATGCACTGATCATGATTTTTCATGACCGATTTTATTTTTTTAACAAGCAAATTTATTTATTGTTTATTAGCTCTATAACAAGCATACTTGCCTTAAAAATATCTGTAGCCATTTGAAATTAGACTAGGCAGCCACTGCATTTTAATCATGATCCAAATAAAGATACTAAGCTACTTATGTTTTAATAAAATTTTAATGATTTTTATTTTTTATTTTAATTAAACTATAATTACAAAATTTAAAGCAAAACAGAATGTCTTTATCGTTGTGAAATTATGCTACATAAAACATCTGAACGAAACCGAAACAGCAGACGGGCTGAATGAGAGTGCAAATTCACTCTCTGACAGCAGGTGGCACTTATGGAACACCAGAAGTAAATTGTTTCCTTGGTTACAGCTGTAAACAAAGCAGCGCAGTACTTCATACAGAGGTAAGAGGAAAAGAAAATGCCATTACCATTGAATGCAGTCAGTTCCCTTCAGTGATACATTCATATAACTCCTCACCCCCAATTCAATTTTTATATTTTCTTATATTTAATTCTTATATTTATTTATATTCAGTATTTATATTTTATATTTTGCGCATTGTGAACAGTGAGCTTGCTCTGCCTGCAACAGTATTCTCTATGCGTCTTAGACAAAGTACAAAGACTGGAGAAATTTCATGTTTTTTGTACTTATTTTTCTGTTATTTTCGGGAGCTACTGGGACAGTGATAAAGATCTAGCAGGCGATCGCAATCGAAGGGTTGGCGACCACTGGCATAATACATTCAGCTGAATACTAAAAACAGATGGTACATCCACACCACTAGGTGTCAGTATAAGTCTAAGAACAACACCAAAAGAAGTGCAAGAATTACATATAATGCCTTTACTTTATACATTTAAAACCTCAAACATACAATACATAACCAATATGTATTCAAAAATAAAATAACATAAAAAAACATGGTTCTTCAACATGGTCCAATAAATTTTATATCAAAAGGTAACACACTACCTCAAATGCTTATTTAACAAATAAGACTGAGTATAGTTTTAACAAAGAAATGCAGTGGATAATTTGTTGGAGAATTATGATACAGGATAATTGTCTTGGACAAAATGTGAAATAAACAATGGAGAATAGGCATGGGCCGATTACGGGTTTCAAGGTATACCGCGATTTGAAAATTTCGCTGTTTCAAAACTGCTAATATTTTCCGTTATACCGTTCCTGCGGTATGCTCTGTTTTTCATGACTCCTCAAAGACTGAAAGTGTAGGAATCCCTCAGGTTGAGTGCAGTGTAGAGAGTAACACGAGCCGCCTCCTCCTGTTGGTGCGAGCGAGCGGTCAGTCACGTGTGTGTATGACGGCCGAACATAAGGAGCTTCCCCTGGAACTTACGCAATCTGCAACCGGCCGTTTTTTGTCTTATTGCAAGCAACTCGTCTCTGTTCTGGACTTTGCACAAACTGCGTTGCAATGCAATAGTTTTCCAAAATGTAATTTATGTGAAAATATGAAGTCTGTAAACGCCCGTTAACACAGGCCAGAGACGTTGAAGACGGACGCACAGAGAAAAATACTGTAGCAGGCAGATCACTCACTGTTCATGATGCACAAACTATTGGAAGAAAATCCTCAATATTGATTTGGGGGTTTAAATGAATGTGTTTCTGAGGGGAACTGACTGTCCCTAATATTCTGTATGTTGCTCAAAAACAAAATATATTGTGTTCAGTGGAAAAAATTTTTTTTTTACCCAGTAATTTAAAAATAACACATTTTAGAACTGTAACAACAATACCGTGATACCGTGAAACCATGATATTTTTGCTTAAGGTTATCATACTGTCAAAATCTCATACCGGCCCATGCCTAATGAAGAATATATCAATATTTCTCTGATTTATCATTTTTCATGTATTAAAACTGCAGTTGGAAATTATGCATCAGATGCTCAGCACAGACCCTTTACCCAAGTGACAGACTGGACTGGTAGTATCTGTGGATCGCCATTTCATGATGAAAGGTATGAAGATTCTTTTTTTTTTTTCATTGTTGTGGCTTGTACCCCTGACCCAATGATTATATTACATTTGCTAGAACATTTCTATCATAAAACAGTGATCAGATATCAAAGCTGAACTCTTAAGGTCTTTGCACACTGAGTCCGAAATTTTCGTATTCGTCATCCTCTCCTATCAAAATGCTTGCAACGTGTGCGAAAACGCAGAGAATCGAACCTGGTCAGAATTTTTTTTTATGACGGACGAAAGTTTCGGAGGCAGTGTGTAAACGTGAGGTTGTATTTATTTTTTAACGTGCAAAACGTTTGGACAAGAATTTCGGACTCGGTGTGCAAAGACATTTAGACCTTTCTAATTATATATACACACAGTAGTTTGTCAAAATTAATAAAACATTTTGAACAATAGCAGACACAGCAATGGTAAACCAATGTAAATAAAACTGCCTGAACGCAGGAAGTGGGAGTTATTTACTAATGTAGATTTTAAAAAGTGCATGGACAAAAATCGATGTAAAAAAAGTTTGGGATAAAATGCTTATTTTATTATTTATGGGATTAAATAAACTTTTTGTCTAAATACCAATTATATGTAAGCACATTTCCACTACTAATAAGAAAAAAAAAATCATAAAAAGTCAAAATTATGAGATAAAACATAAAAATTATGAGTCAAGATTCTGAGAAAATAAAAAAAGTTGAAACTGACATACTAAGTCATAATTAACAAGCCATAAGTATGAGATAAAAAGTTGAAACTATGAGATGAGTAATAATTATGAGACTGGCCATGGGTCCAGGTTTTTTTTCTAACCTGCGGCCCGAGACTGGGATAGGCTACAACAATTGAAATGATAAAAAAGTCATAATTATGACATAAAAAATATGTTTTGTCATAATTATGAGTTATGTCAGCTTTTTTTTATCTCAAATTTCAACTTTATGTAATAAATAGGATTTAATTAAATATTTTAACTGTCATTGTTAAGATTTACCAAAGCCATAATTTTGAGAAAACATTTATAGATAATTATGACTGTTTATGATATAATAATTATGTATTGCAAAAAAATTATCATTACAAAAAGTAGAATTTTTTTATCCATAATTGTTTTAATTTCATCATCTATTTCGTTCATTTTTAAATTCAGGTTAATTCAGTTTGTTTTCATTTTTAATTTATTTTTAAGATAAAAAAAGCCATAATTACAACAAATCATAATCATGATATGATAATGATGTACAGGTGCATCTCAATATGAAATTTTCCACAACATTCTAATTTATTGAGATGCACCTGTATTACAAAAAATAATTTTGACAAAAAGTAGAATTTTTTTATGACTCGTAATACATTAGTTAATACGTTAATACATTTGTTTTAATTTTTAATTTAGACTTTTTACCTAAAACGTATGATTATAAATCATAATTTTAAATTAGTGTTTAATAATTTATGAAATAATTATGATTTACCAAAGCATTATCTTTGTTTTTGTGGCAGAAATGGGCCTTCATACAATTAAGTTTTTATTATTAAGTTATTTAAAGCCTATTAGGGGAGAACAAATTAGCTTTAGCTGCTTTACACTATATGCATTAAACACCATCTGGATATTTTTGAGTTGATGTGCCTTTGCTTTCCACAATGCACCCATAAGCCCAGTGCATGAGACCTCTCAGGGCACTCTGGGTAATTCTCTAGTTGAAAAGTTAGCTTATTTCCTTTCTCAGTTGCAGCTCATTGGAAAATGGCCTTGCCATCAGTAGTCCCATCATCCTCTCCCGCTCTCTCCATCCACAGGCCACAGAGTTGCTTAAGGCTATTCTCCATTTTCACTTACAGTGCTAAAGTGGCCTGACACCACTTTTGCACCAAGGCAGTAAAATGTTAACATTCTGTTGAAGCTGATGGCTGTCAAACCAATGTGCCCATTTTGTCAATCTCATTTACGCCTCCAGCATGGTCTATGGCACCTTTTTACCTCTCAGGGGAAATAAATTCCCATTTCATTTGTGAAATGGTGCGTTTTAGGCACAGTGGAGGACTGGCTCTAAGCTTTGGCCAATGAGGAATAGAGGTGCAGAGATTTCCATTTTCAGTTGACGCTTGTGGCAAATGTCACACAGAGGTTTGTCAGAGTCAAACAGGAGATTTGGCAGAGGTGATGAACTCTAGCAAGTCTTAATAGGTTTCATGGCCGATTCTAGATAATGTGTGTTATTTTCACATGCTGACTCATTCAGTGAGAACAGGAACTGCAAACAGAGAGCTTAAACATTTGGATCCATTCAAGACTAACAGATGTTTTCACTGCCACTCTTTCATCCATCCATTTTCCAAACCGCTCACCCAATATAGGGTCATGGGAATGCTGGGTGTACCTCTGTATCTCGGGCCGCACACTGTAATGTATTATTGTTGGTACAGCTGAGTTAACATGAAAAGAAATCATACTTGTTAGGGTGTAAATTATGGGTCTGACCCCCCCAATTAAACACTGAACCAATCAAAATGAAAGGTTGAGGGAGTCTTAAAAAATACCTACACTTAGCAGCCTTATTTTTACATACTGCATATGAAACATTTCTGTAGCTCTGTCTGAATGGCATTTGTAATATAATTTCCAAAAATGGAATTGGGTCATGCTGTTGACATTGCCTGAGGTCCAATTCATAAACGTATGAAAAACTTGTTTTGCCATCTAAATTAAATTGTATTTCACGAATGCATCTACAATACAGTTGGAATAATTTGTTGTTGAATGGAGTTTATTGAAATTAACCTGTTAAAACTTATCCTGCACATTTAAAATGGAACTGTTATGGGGCAAACAAGACGTGAGACGTACGGATCCATTTGCAAGCTTTATAAAAGGCGTGGTCAAAACAGGCGAGGATCAGGCAATGGCAAACAGGTATATAGAAGACAAAAAAAGAGCAGTCCAGTAAACAAGCGAGGGTCAGGCGACGGCGAACGTAATCCAACAGGGGTGAGACTAGAGGGATAATCCAGGTACAAGGCAAAGATCAGAACATGAGAAAACAGACAAGGCAAGACTAAGAAGAACTAAGCAGGCTCAGTAAGGTAGCTATCAGCTTTAGCAGTGATACACGGTAAACAATACTCTGCAGTGGGAAGGGATCAGAGTGAGTGTTAAATAGGGGATGTGTGATTGATTACAGCTGTGTGCAATCAGTGCTGTGTGCAATCAACTGTGTGTGTCATCAGTGCAGTGGATGATGGGATATGTAGTCCGGGGTGATATGCAACAGTGTGTAGTGCAAGAGTCAATTAAATGGAAAGGGTGACCTCTGATGGCTAGCAGACAGAAGTTCATGGACAGGATACGTGACAGAAACATTACTGGCTAATCCAACCTTAGCAACTGTTGCTATCTGCCATTTTTTTAACTTTGGCTGAGAGAATCTGAGTTTTGTTTTTCATTTTAAACTATTTTTAACTCACTGTATTGTAAAAAATTATACAACTTGTCCAGAGAGATTTCCCCCCCTATTTTTCTTGTTTATATATAACATTATATATAACATTACATTAACTCTAAATTAAAATAAATAGTTCACCCAAAAATTAAAACTTGCTGAAAATGTACTTACCTTCAGTCCATGCAAGATGTAGATGAGTTTGTTTCTTCATCAGAGCAGATTTGGAGAAATGTAGAATTACATCACTTGTTCATTAATGGATGCTCTGCAGTGAATGGGTGCCGTCAGAATGAGAGTCCAAACAGCTGATATAAATAAAATACTAGTCCATATTCCATAACAACACTTCCTCCAGTGAAAAAGTTCATCCCCTGTTGTCCTCTCACATTGAAATCCATTAATCCACTGACATGTTTATATTTTTTGGACAATTTTTTACTTATAAACAATGCTTGATCTGTGCATATTTCTCTTCTAATTCAGACGAGACAACTTTTTCACTGGAGAAAGGAATATAATGGATGGAGGACTATTTTAACTGGAAACAATGGTTTAAAAAGTTAAAAGCCAAGTTAAAAAATGTTTTTTATTATACTGCTTATCATTTCACAAGATGTTAATTGATGAACTGGAGTCATGTGAAATACTTGTGGATTGTTTTTATAAGCTATTTGGACTCTCATTCTGACAGCACCCATTCATTGCAGAGGATCCATTGGTTTAGGAAGTGATTTAATGCTAAATTCCTCCAAATCTGTCACAATGAAGAAACAAACTCATCTTGGATGGCCTGAAGGGTAGTACATTTTCATCAGATTGTAATTTTGGGGGAACTACTCCTTTAATGATACTAAAAATGTTATTGTATTTACAGTATATATATTGATTCAGGCCACTGTGATGTTAGTATTAACTAAAATAAATTACAGTAGCATAGAGATTGCATTATAGAAATGTTAGGAATCACTAAAGTTATCACTTGAAATTGCTGCTAAATGAGGCTTTTTTTACTTATTTCTTTTGACTGTTTGAAGTGTTTACCTTGATTATGATTTAATCACGGTACTGAATAATTGAATTTTTTTGCAATGTAATAATTCATCCCAGATCCCTTACGAATAATATCCAAATCATTTTTACCAATTTATGAGCACATTCTACTGAAAATAACATTGACGACATACATTTTCAGTTAATTCCTATGCATTCTGAATTATAAGAGTTAGCAGCAATTACCAAAGTTGGTGCAGTTTAGGTAATAATCAATTACCATTTATTAAAACAGTATATTTAATAAATAAAAATAAAAGTAACCACAATTTCTCCACAATCAAAGATTAACATAAGTTACTCAGACAATTGCAGAGACAAACCTCCACAGACTCAATGGTGTCCACAAAATTACCTAAAATAAAAAAAGCTTCCCGAGTCTAGTTTCCACATTTTTTCTGCTGTGTGTAACAACGCAAGAGATTAACATAAGTTACTCAGACAATTGCAGAGACAAACCTCCACAGACTCAATGGTGTCCGCAAAATTACCTAAAATAAAAAAAGCTTCCCGAGTCTAGTTTCCACATTTTTTCTGCTGTGTGTAACAACGCAAACTGCCATAAAATATGTTTCTGCATAATTTTTCGATTTCCCTCAGCACTGTCTTCCCGTACACTCCAGGTGCTCCTAGATGCTACTAAATAAAGCTGAAGCGAGGGGTTTCGCAAGACAATGACAATTCTTTCTGTGACTCAGCGCACATATTGGCTGAAATTCACCACATACCTTTTCTTCATAGTGAATGTAGGTGGACGCCTCCGGTCCAAGGTACTTCACCAGGCTGGAGATCACACCATCTCTTCTCTCCTCCATCTAAAATGAGCACAAAAACATTTGTTCATCGACGTATCACAAAAGTATTAAAAAAATATAATTGTGCCTCCATCCTTGTGAAAATGGGCACTTCTAGTGCACTTTAAATCCTAAAAATATATATGTATTTTTTTTTAAACTGTACTTGCAGATTATATAATATTAATGAAATTAAAGGCTACATGAGTGTTGTAACATATTTGTTACATATAAAGGTGTACATCTTACTTAAGAGGGTCAAAAAAGCACCGTTTAGAAATATAAAGGTAAACTTTAATACATTTTAATTCAATTGCAAATAATGTCTCCAAACAGATTACTTATACTCTTCTAAAGTACATAATCTCCTTAATAAGTATAATTTTTCAAATTATGCTAAACTGTACTTGAACTATGCTAGAACTGGGCTGAGTCCGGTTCTCCAACCTCCATCGATCCGAATAACTCAATCCCTCTTTGGTCTCTGTTGACTCTATGAGTTATGGGCAGAAAGGGGCCAGGGCGCACACCCTTGCTGTTACTACGCCAGCGAATGACAGATGTTAAGGGAACATATAAAACCCTGCATCTGCATGTTGTGCTCACTTCCACTTGAACTGAGTGTCCCGGCCCATAATTCAGCCTACAATTATGGCTTCGCACCAGGTAGGGGGTGGGGCGGCACAGGAAGCATCTGCGGGGGGCGTTATAAAAGTGCCCATAAGGAGTTGGAGGGCTAGCCACTATCTCTAATGCCTGGCCATAAAACAAACCGCACAAAATTACACTTCATGTCCACACTTCAAAGTTTGCCAGCTCATTCATGTGAAGGTAATGTTGAGTAACGGCAGAAAGCACACAGCTTGGGCGTATTGCGCTGAGTAGTCAGTCTGGGCTCTTCACACATCTGTAAGAACCAGAGCTTGTCGACAAATGCATTACAGAGTACATGACTCTTCTTCATTTTATGGACAAATCTCAATTAATGGAGGTGACAATTGGGTATTTCAACATAAAATACTACCAAATACAAATACTACCAAATACAAACTAGTAATGCTGTATTAGCAAATGAGAACCAGAGCTGGCTATTCCATCTGATTCATTATGAATAAAGCAACCATAAACTCTGTTCACTGCTCTTGTCTATTATGAATGACTACAGACGGTCTGGGGGATGGAAACGTGATGGAAGCGAGATGGAAACGTGTTTATCAGACCAGTTCATCTCAAAAAGGGAATTCTGGTTTTCATGGATTTTAGCTGTAGGCTAGCTATTTTCTGCATGCAAGATGTGTGGCCATCTTTGTTTGATTGAGCGACGAGTGACAGATAAATCAATAGTTGGCCACATTATCAGTCAGGAAAAGACTCTTTGAAGACTCAGAGCTGGAAATGTTTGTTTTCCCAAGATAACAGTTCTAGTTTAATCTGTACCAAAGACATTTGGCTAATCGCTAATCTGATATTGCTTGTTTACAGACAATTTGGTTGCTGAAAGACTAGCACTTCAACATATTTTAGTTAGTTGCCATGTAAGGTAACATTTCTAAATTGCATTTAAGTTGAAATTGTTTGTCTAATATTTACATTTTATTTTAGGTTGATTCCATCTACCCAATTGATTTTAATAGCTAACAGTAACAACGCTGGTGCATGTCTAGCTGCTGGACCAACTAGTCATTATTTTCTCCAGCAAAATGTAGCTCATGCTGGTTGAGCAAGAAAATGTTGCTATTTTAGATAATTGGTCAGCGTTTTGTTAGGTAGCATGGCTAGCAGTTATTCCCTAGATGCTGTAAGTGGGATCAAATGACTTTTGAAATATACATACAAAAAAGCTAATATTACATAATGTTTTGCAAATAATATTATTATTAAATGGCTAACCATCCATTAATTACAGTACATGGTTTTGAAGGCTCCTAAAAGCGTGAAATTAACTTTGAAATGGGAATGCTAACAGTTTTCTCCTAATATTATAGACCTTCAATCTCAGCTAGATGAAGAAAACCAGCACATGAGCTTCCAAAACACGACATATGGTTATGAGCAACTCTGCCAGCCTCTTCAGCAGGGTATTGTGACTGTTATGCTTTAGTAAGGCGGTTTTTGAGCAACTAAATGTCAATACATATATCTATTTTCACCTCTTGACTCATTGTCTCAGTATTCCCTGAAAGTGTGAAACTGAGAATAGACCTGACATATTAAACTTCCTTCTCTGTATCTCTCACTTTCTCTTTCCATTTCTCACTCTTGCGATATGCTATTAAAATGCATTGCTCTCTTTCCCAAACCCTCAGTCTCATTCTCTCTATCTGTCTCTCACCTTTCTGTCGCACCAGTCACGGGCCTGTACTCCAGTGATGAACCCCACCAGCGCAGGATTACCTCTGGGGCTGGTGGCATCAAATGTGACGCTTAAAGGGCAGTCCTCGGAGGGACGTGCCACGATTTCCCCCGAGAAACCTTTTTCCTTCCAAAATGCCTGTGAATCAGATCAAACAAAGCAGAGAATGAACAGCCTTGAAAATGAAAAGCATTCATTCTTTATTAAAAGGGACCAGCGCAATGCTGAAAACGGACATTATCTGCATAAATGTCAACTATATTTGCATAAATTGTAGATTTATGAGCAGTTATGTACAATATCTACATACTGATTAGCAACCAAACATCAAACAGGTTTGAAACGATATGAAAGTGAGTAAATTATGACAGAATATTCATTTTTATGTGAACGATCGCTTTAAATAAAACTGTTCTATTAGACTAAAATATTTAACACACTAATGCATATAATGAACTAATTTGTTGTTAAAAAGTGTTTTGCTTTTCCTGAAAAAAATAAGTGCATCCCATGCCAATATAATTAAATAACTAAATATGTATTTTTTTTAAGGTACAAATTCACAGTACTAGCTAGTTAAAATATATATTATATTTCAATGACAACATTGTAAAACAAAATGTGTTTTGTGGTATTTGTAAATCGATTTGGATAAAAGCATTTGCTAAATTAACAAGTCTATAATGTAAATGAATGCTTTGCATACTTATGGGGCTCCCATATGTAACTTCAACTGCATTCATAAATGTGTTATACATAATTCATGAATATATGCAATTAAAGATGATGATAAAAGATAAAAACACATTTTTAAGCACTCGGGCAGGGTTTCATGGACTAACAACTGAGTAAGAGTGTGTTGCGCAGAAAATGTTCTCACGCAAACATTCCCAACAGGGTTGATTGATCATTGTTACTCTGAAATAAAACTTACTGCAGAGTTACTTGGTTATTAAATTTATGATAACACAAACATTTCATATTAATGCAATCTAAGTTTCAGAAGCAACTCTGGGAGTGATTTTTGCATATGTTTGTTTTTCATTGGGCTCTAATTGTGTAAACGTATCCTTACTTTTAACATTTTATGCAGTAGTGAGTGAATGAAACCTATTATCTTATTTAATATGCAAAAGATGTTCGAAAACATCTTTCACAGTTGACAGACAAATCTTATCCTCTGATTAAGGTGGCATCTCCAGTAACTGCAGAGCCCAGATTAAATATTAAATTAAAGTAAGGGCTTATACTAAATATGCTAGTCAGAGCACTAGGAGGTAGCTCTCCATGCCTCTGCACATTTTAACTTCATTATAGAGTTTAATGCAATAGAGCTGTAGGGGAAGTGACTGCACTGTGCTGGGAAAGCCGGTAAGCCAGTTGTGGGTAAGTGGATGGGTTATGCGTGTTACTCACAGTGGGGTACGTGATGATAAACTTCGTCATGTGGCCGACAGGCAGGCACTGGGTGAGGCGCTGGCGCTCAGCTGGCAGGGCAGGCTCGTAACGGATCTGGGCTAAAAGAGAGGGCATAATCAGAGAGCCACTGAATTAAATAAGAAAATTTATTTTAGAAAACAACAGTAGAATGATACTGACATTAAATAGGCAAGACAGCTCTATTCTTACAATTGACCCTTCGCAAAAACCCACCCTCCTTAGCTACTGTTGCTATGTTCGACAAGCCATGCCTCTCTCACACTACACACCATGTTCTCACGCAGTGAAAATACATTGCGGAGCAAAGAGGAAACTGACAACATACCTACAGACAAGATAGAGCAGATTCTGGTATGTTGAATTTTTTTTTTAAAGAAATTCAAACAATAAATACCGTTTTGTGGCTTTTTAATGTGTCTTGACAGATCACTGTATTGCACCAGTTAAAGTGGCACATGTGAACCGATCATCTTTTCATATTTACTTAAAGCATGAAATGAACATGAATGCACATCAGAACTTATTTTATTTAAACCGCGGAAAGACATCAATGCACAATATTTTTCAAGTTTAAGTCCACTAAAGTTTATCTACTCTCCTGTCTGATTTGTTTGTCGGGCAAGATGGGGGATTCGGCATTATGGTTGTCAGATCACCTGTCAATCAAGGTCTTTGCGAATAGTCAATTGCTAGGACCCATTTCTCTAAACTTAGGTCACTTTTTCAAAACTCTTCACAAAAAAATGGTGTAGAAGCAATTTTCAATCAGTAAATTTCACAACTACTTACAAAGAAATAGCAAGTAACATATTAAGCATGAAATTTTGAATAGACAGAAATATAGAATTACCATGTCATACTTAAATTATCTTTTTTTAATTTACAACTTCAAAAACTTAAAAAAAAACTTAAAAAAAAGTTATCACAACAGCAGTCAATGTGGACCAAACTGTAGGCCATTTTTTATTGGTGTAGCACAAATACATTAATTGTCTACATCTTTCAAATTACATGTATTCTTTTCATACTCAGACACAACCACTACCATTGTCTTTAAAGGCCAATTTGCACGTTTGCATAACTGTTAAACCTAATATAATACAAAACCAAATAAGACCGCAATCTGCTACATTTCTACAGTAATACAATATTGAAATAATTCCACATCATAAAAAAAAGAAATTATATCAAAACAATTAGTAAAAACAACTGTGTAACACCAACACAGATGTTAGGCATTCAATTTCATTACCGTCTACACAAAAGGGGACCTGCCCTTACGAAAATTAATCATGGTTTTACTACAAATAAAACCATAAAACCAAAGTAAATATAGTTAAACTATATTTGTTTTGCAACACTAACCAAAGTTCAACCATTTTATTTATAGTAAAACTGTGGTTACTACAACAACAACAACAAAAAACCTGGTTACTACGTCTCTACTAAAATAAAACCATGGTTATTTTCATAAGGGTAGGAATAATTTTGCACTCTAATGTAAAAATGGACCATGTGACAAATACTGCAGTGAATTCCAAACAGTAGAGAGCTGTCAAAGAATACATTTATGAAAGAAATCACTGTATAATGCTATTTGTTGTTAGTGTTTTTAAAGCATTGTTTTATGGACGATTGTTGGGTGACAACCTTGCTAGTATTGTGAAATAATGACTTGATTTGAGACATGTATGAAGTGTTTTAGTAGTTTAGTGAATATGAAATTACTGAAAGTTGATAAGGAGAATTGTGAAGAGTTTTGAAAAGGTGACCCAAGTATTGAGAAATATGTCCAAGCGATAATAAAAAAAACTGTAAATGTTGTGAGCTGTCTTATTGTCTACTGTCTTCATAGGCAGCTACCTTCTGAGAAAGCAATTTGGAACACTTTGGAAACATCAAATTGTACTCCATATGTAAGAAGCAACTCATAATTGATTTCAATAGAGTTTGATGTTGCTAAGCTAATGCTATGAAACTATCTAGCTTAAAAATAGATAGTACATAGAAATATTGGCTAAAATGTTAGCAAGCTTTATCAATTCTTTCTCAGTACTGAATGAAGTACAGTATATGCTAATCTACTCTAATGCAACATTTCGACAGTCGCATCAGCAGCCATCTTGGCTTTATATTTTCACAAAGCTCTTCGCTTTGTTTTTCTTAACAGTCCATTGGGTACATTTTCTTAGAGTGTACATTTTACTATAGTCTCAGAGTCAGGTACACATCCACGATGCCTTAAAATTCTGCCTACGTAGGCAGCTCACTAAGTTTTGGAATGTCTCGCTGACACTCTTGATCATAGGGGATTCTGGGATACTGTTTATACATTGGATTTAGGGGACGTTATAGAGGACAGGACAGGACTGAATAGAAATATGTGCTTTAAAGAGAAATGGAAAACAGCAAATAAATTCAAAGATATGAAAGGGAAAAATGGTGAGCGCAGGAACACAGACAGGAAGAATATGGTATAGAATAACTCATAGGTCTCAGATCATCCTTTGGTATTGATTCAGGTGGCTATACCTTCTAATCAAGAAGCACTTTCGCAAATTGGATCTAATACCCTAGTGACTAGCTCTCCATGAAATTGCCAATCTATTAAAGAATCCCTGCGATTTAACACTACTACTTTGTTTTCCTAAAAGCCGTAATTATGGCTTAGCCATTTTGGGAGTGTAAGTGTGGGGTATCCAATAACTTTATGTGCAGCCCTCAGGGCCATCTCTACGCCTGAGTAACAGAAACAGTGCCAGAAGGGACACTGACCCCATTTTTGACAAGACAGCCATCTGGCGACAAGCCATCATGTCAGCTAGCCTTTTGAAGAGAGGCCACACAAATAAATTGTTGTCTGCTGCCCAGTCAGTCACTTGAAACATAACTCTATAGCCTAGCAATAAAACTTGTGTGAAAAAGAACCTATGGAAATAATACACTATAAAATAACATATTTAAGTGCAAACTGAATGAAATGTTTTTCGAATACGTAATTGCATGTTATTTATAATGAAATGAAAATGTATTTTTGTTAAAATTTATATTAAAAGCAATTATTTGTTAAGAAATAGTCATAAGAGTGTACTTTTATTCGTTAATATTATATTATCTGCAAGTAAAGTTTTTAATAAATATATACTTACAAGCGGACATTCAATACAAGCGCGCTTCTTTTACACAAGAGAAATGTGATATAAGGTAGGGTTTCAGAGAGGCTAGCAATAGCAAGCTTCCTTTGAAAGCATAAGATCTCACTCTCCCTGCAAATCACTCTCCAGATCCAAATGTTTTTTAACCAAATCACCTACCCTGGCTTTAATCAAGAAGCACAATACGAAAACAAGTCTTTCCCTGCAAATAAAAAAATATTTCCCTCAAAGAGAAACTGATTTTTGTATAAACCTTTTTAACACTACTCTTAGCCACAAGTCACTTTTAAAGTCCTTAAGTACTTCAATACCCACAATTTTTAATCAAGATCCACCAACCAGAGAATCAGAGAGCAATGAGCTATTAAAGGTGTCATAAACTGCCTTTAATTTTTTGTTTGTACTGTTCTCTGCGGTCCACTTATAATGTTATCAAGATTTATACATCAAAAAACATCATACTGTAATTTAGAATAAGCTATTTTCTGTACTGTTTTTAAATCCCGCATCGAAATGTGCCTTGTTTGTAAATGAATCTGCGGTAAAATGAAGTGAACAAAGGACCGAGTTCTTACTAACGCAGTCTGGACCTTCATTATAAATAAAGTTAATTCACTCTTTCCTAATGTTGGGATCAGAAGGAAGGCAATGCATAGACTGTTTTTCCACAACTTGGCACTGCGTCTTGTCGTCTTCAGAGCAATCTTTATCATTTGGTTTCTGCGTAGACCTGCATGTTCGCCTCTCTCATAAACACTACGGCCATTTCTCAAACGGAAGACTGAATCCTCCAGAGGTCGCATTTGCAGGCTGCATACGTCCTCGAGCCTGGTTTATTTCAGTTAACTGAGCATTATATTCGTGAGTCATAAGCATATTACAACAATTTACGCTGAACTAAGAATAATGGTCAAATTTATAACTGTTAATATTCTAAAATGCAACCTACAAATATGACCTCCGGAGGATGCAGCCTTCCATATGAGAAACAGCCTACATGCGTGAATCGGTGGGCGGGTCTAAACAGGCAGTGATGTAGAATCTGTGGGCGGGGCTAAACAGGCAATGCTGTAGAATCGGTGTAGAAGCAGGCGTTGATAATCTTCTGCGGAGGCGGTGCTTATCCACACTATTACATCATAGAGTAGAACATTCTAAAAGCTGTCGTTTTGTCAGTCTTCAATATAAGCTGTTTTTAGACTAACAACAAAGGGTACGTCTCCATCAGCTCCCTTGTTCAGTAGTCAGGGCACTGATCAGGCAGTCTGCCATTTTAAGGGCTGTCTGAATTGCGAAATCCTTCCAGTGCAGTTGAATGTTCGCTACCTAAAAATCCCACAGTGCATCGCAAATTCTAGGGAGCATCAGTGCTTACTATGCTCGCTTTTCAGAAATTACGTCACGTTTCTGAAGCATTAAACTACACAAGCCAACTCGGTAAATATAAAGACACGCGCTTTGAAAGATTTGAAAGGACAAACGTTTTTTTTTTAAGATATTTCAGCATAAACACACATCGCTAGACAGGTAATGAACAACATCTAGTTAACGTTTATAATTAATATTCGTCTGAAATGATGTAAGAACATGTACAGAACAATGTGTTTAAAAAGAAAAAAAATGTAGAATCTGTGGGCGGGGCTAAACAGGCAATGCTGTAGAATCGGTGTAGAAGCAGGCGTTGATAATCTTCTGCGGAGGCGGTGCTTATCCACACTATTACATCATAGAGTAGAACATTCTAAAAGCTGTCGTTTTGTCAGTCTTCAATATAAGCTGTTTTTAGACTAACAACAAAGGGTGCGTCTCCATCAGCTCCCTTGTTCAGTAGTCAGGGCACTGATCAGGCAGTCTGCCATTTTAAGGGCTGTCTGAATTGCGAAATCCTTCCAGTGCAGTTGAATGTTCGCTACCTAAAAATC